ACTGGTTTCAGTCCAAGATGAATACCAACCTGAAATCAATCAATCAATTTCCAAACCCCCTCAAAATTCCATCTTATATGAGTCAAATCAGACTTCTCCTTGCTTTTCAAAGGTTAAAGTAATGAGAAATTAGCAGAATTTCCTCATGTGAGTTTAGTGAAAGTTATATGTTAATTATTTCAGTTGCATACCTTAAAAGACAATCACGAAGGTATCAAGGAAATTAAATCGTACCGGTGAGATGCGTTATTTCATAAACTGAGAGAACGTTTACCTGCTTGTTGATATGCTTGCAATTCTCTGTTGTTATGCTGGATCGAATCGTTCAATTTCTGTTATCGTCCGCACAGGAGCCCACATACTAACAGAGGTCAAACAGTTTGATCCAGGACAACAATAGAGATTTATAAGCATATCAAAAAGTAGCTATAATCAATACCCGTTGTACAAGAGATGGATACCGTGCCTCAGTGCCCTTAGTGGATAATGCTTTGGCGTTTTAAGCGATGACTAAGAGGTTCCAGTCTCAGTGGGAACAATATAGCTCACTGGGTACATCTAGCTGGATATAGTTCGATATAGGAGGACACGCGTGTCATGGATTCCTTTGCTAGTCACAACCAAGTAAATTACCATGACAGAGCATACTATGGAAACAAAACAGTGACCAAATATTATGCACAGTAGACTACGGTCAGGAGAACAAAAAAGGAAGTAAATCGGCAGTTTCACTGCTAATGAACATAACGGAAACTATCTATAAAAAAACATTCATGATAGACAGTCGACCTTATCTTACTTTGGGATTAAAGTAAGTTTGTAATGCATAGAAGATTCTCTGTAGAAAACTGAATATAACAATAATAACAATTTAGAGGTAGTATTCATCATGAACTGATATCAGTTGGGGAACCATTGAAAATCTGTGAGCACCGGACAGTTGCTCCGTTCTAGCATAGGACTCCTCAACAGTACACACCCAAGACCTGGCTAGGGATCGAACTCAGGACCTTCAGATTTCACGGAGGACGCGTTAACCATTCAGCCACTGGGCCGGGGTCCAATAGTTCACAGTTTCCAACTTCTGTCAATTCACAATATAGCAGGACTATCACCCAAGGTCTTCAGTTAGCATCCACTTCACTTACGATAGGTTGACCTCACAGGTCACGGCTTCTCATTAGAGCTTCGTGATATCCATCTGGAAGCAAGTTACTAATGAGCACTATACAGTAATGCATTTTTGAGATGAATGGGGATTTTTAATTTAGAGGTGGCTGAATGGTTAACGCGTTCTCCGTGAAATCTGAAGGTCCTGAGTTCGATCCCTAACCGGGTCGTGGGTGCGTGCTGTTGAGGAGTCCCGTACTAGAACGAAACAGGTGTCCAGTGATACCAGATTTTCAGTAATTCCCCAAATGATGCTAGTCCATGATGAATACTACCTCTAAAGTAAAAATCCCCATTCATTTCAAAAATAATAATGATAATTTAGTTTCCAGAAAATTGAAGCTAGAAAGACCAGAAAACCTAGTACTTCTGCCTATACCGTCTTACAAACACTCGAATATCCAAAGAATTCTAAGTTTAAATCTTGGGACTCCTTCACTGAATGACTGATCTCCTAGGTCATTTCAAATGGGATTTCGTGTTGGTCATCTTCAATTTGAAGGAGTAATAAAAAGAGCTCTGAAGTTTGTCATCGTATATCCATATGAGTGCAGAGTATTGGATCATATCTAGTGCTTAAATTCTAGTCATATTGAAAATGACTTGCGGTACAAATTATATATGTGCTTATTCCTATGGCTATCTATGCGGACTGAATGAATTGATCCCTTTACTTAAGGGATAGAAAAATAGTACTGAACAATATAATTATAGGAAGCACTGAAGAAGACCTTCTTTTTCATCCAACTTCGGACTATTTCCACCACTTAACAACAGATTCGAGGGTGTGTACAAAATAGACTACCACTGTGGATCACCTCACCCACTCTGATTACATAGGCCGCATAAAGCATGTTCCATTGAAATGCATCTCCTGTATGGTCATTTAAAAGAGAGAGCAAAGCGATTAGCAGCTCGATGCTTGAGTCTCTGATTAACTTTGTCCCACCAAAGTCTTCTTTCAAAAGTGATTTACAAAGTCATCAGCGGTGGAAATGAATGGCTAATTGACTTCGATGAATTGGTATACCTCAAACAGGGTGACTAATTTATAAGTTGTTTACAAATAGCACAGTCCAGCTGGTGATGTGAATGGTTCCTAATTACTTATAGTATTCAGTAACATGTTTCGTTAGTTCATGACATTTTTATATCAAAGGTGACGCTTTATGATCCTGACAAGATGATTTCCAATGGAAATTCTATTGATACTGAAGTTGGGTCATTGAACAACTAATTTCTATCACCATCATAGACTTCTTTAGGTGATTGTTTTGGAAGGTATTTATTCGTAATATAGGAATAAAACTTGCGCAATGCGGTAGATTGTGATTCCATTTTAGTCTGTTTATTAGATGTCACACGGTGAAACGGTATCCTTTACTGGATAACGTTTCGGACACAATTTATTGTCCATATTCACATAAGATAACTCCACATAACTTCGAGACAGACTTTGTATATTCCCTAATTTTCTCTCCTCTGTGATGACAAGAGTAGTAGAATTTTCCAGATATCTAGAACAGATGTAGAATCATTTCGATGGCATGTATTTAGTGTTGATTCGATAAATAAAGATTCGGTTATCTATCTCTCCCTCCATCCACCTAACTAAGTTAGTTTGCAACACTGTCGCTCTATCCCACCCTACTGTGTGATTGTGTCATCACATGCAGAGCTATTGCCGAGCTTTCCTCTAGATTTCTTATCTTATTAGGATCTACTAATCTTGAGTTAGCTAAGTTTTTGTGCTCTGTTATTGTAATCGACCATGGTCGACACCTTTGACCTATGTACTTGTCCCCGCAATCATTGAAAGGGAGCTGGTAAACCAGATTATTTTATTTTAATTGCATCAATAGGGTCTTTTAACCTACAAAGCTTGTTTCTATGTAACTTTGTTGGTTTGAATGCCTTTTTAATCCCAGTCAGCCTTATTGAGAATTCTTTGTAATGCTTCTCAGGTGCCTTCCTTGTATGGTAACACAGCAGAGGCTTTAAATTCTCTCTTAACCCTGTCACCATTATTACCATTAGTAGTAGAATTACTAGTAATAACACCCGTATTACTACTAATAATAATATTTTTAGAGGTAGTATTCATCATGGACTGACATCAGTTGAGGAACCATTGAAAATCTGGGAGCACTAGACCTTGGATGATAATGAAACCTGAATGTCCTGAAGTCCATAAATATGTTTCCGACGATAGGGGATATCGATGATTCCATGGTAATACCTTCAGTTTCTTCATATATTTTATTTTGAAACTTAAAAACTGTAGATGTTCGGTACATTTGTACTCCTAGTATGATTTCCTCCATCGGCACCTTAGATCGATGCGTAAGTTATTTGTCATCTTTAAGCCCATTTCTAACTGCCTCTAGAACCATGTCAATTGGTATATTTGTGTAAAGACTAGTTATGTCAAAACTAACCATCTTTTCACTGTTGTCTAAGTGTGCTTTAAGTCATAAGAGTTGGTAAGTAGAGACTTTGAGTGATTTCTTATTGGACCTAAGACCATTGCTAAATACTTAGACAACTGGTGAGTCTGAGTGTTTCTAAAATCTACTATGAGCTTAATGGGATAATCTGGCTTATGCATATTAGTAGTACCATACATCCTAGTGGGATTATTAGTTTTCAGTATTCAATTAAACCATTTTCACTCACTTAGAAACGGCTTCATCCGCTGTACCAGATCCTCTGTAGATTTCTTAACCTTATTCATAATAGTAATATCCACTGATTTCTTAACTTCCTCATATGGTCCTGTCTCTATAGGTATTTATTTTCTTCTATAGATCCAACTCCTACGTTATTGATCAACTTTTACAGTTTTCTTTTGACATTAATAAGATAAGTAAGTGAATATATAAATAATATTACAAGTTAAACGAGTTTTAAGTAGTAGAAGAAGAAGACGGGAGAAAAAAGTAGACGAAGAATTGAGCAACAGCCTGTAGATGACAGTCCCCATTGAATTAAGTTGCTGCTTGAAGTAATCTATTCTATCGGATAACCATCTGATAGAACTACACATGTGGCGCTTATCCATAAATGTATACATACAAATAAATTGAATGAAAATCATCAATCTTGTGTACATTTATACACTTGAAGACGCTATTTCATATATGAACCAACGTTTGTGTGTGTGTGTGTGTGTATATTCATACCATGTGGGTGAAACTGTCCTATCCCTCTGTGTGTTGTCTAACAGATGACATGCATTTAAGCATTTTTTTTCTTTTAAAAAAGGGTGAAAAACTCTTATGTCATTCTGCTCAACTCAACTGTGACATAAAAGACGAGTTTGATAAGAGAGAAAAAAGGGGGGAAACTTAAGTAAAGAAGAGAAAGTAGGATAAATAATGAACACAATGACCTAGAAAACTGCTATGATAGTTTGAGAAGAAAACAGAAACTGACAGTATTCACTATATAATTCTCATAATGATTATGGAGTTGATGAGGATTATGATGAAGACAATAATAAAATGTTTAGGTTTATTTACCTTTCTCATCCGATAGGTAACTTATCATTTTACTAAATGTATAGAACTTTCTTCATCTTAGTAAGTAGGAGAGAAATCCAGAACACTTGTTTCGTCCGATTTTGGAATCGTCAACTCGACATGCCTACACCTCAGTATGGAGTGATGTTTTCCCCACTGAGACTTGAACCTCGTACCCACCATTGAGGAACGATAGGCACTTTATATGCAACGGATATCAGTTGTTTTTGTTGCATCGAGGCATCCACATAGGAGCCCATCTGCCAACAATGAAGGTAGAATAATTCGGTTTTGTATACCAACAGAAAATTACAAGTATAGATGTATCATCAGTAAAGAAAAAAAATAATAATACAGTAAGTAATCAAGTATTACCTGAATCACACGCATTGAAAGTCCAGTCTCTTGAGCTAAAGACTCTCGAACATGTCTTGTTGGCTTTGGAGTAGTTGCAAACGCTGTTTTAAGTGTATCCAATTGTTTTGCTTTGATAGTTGTACGTGGACCTCTACGCTTTGCACCGCCATTATTTCCATTAGCATTCATTCCTAATGTATTATTTCCAGTAGAATTTAATCCATTTTCAATATTATCAGTTAAATGATTTATTCCCCTGTGACCAGATATACTTTCACTATCATCTTCACTTGCTTGTGATGATGATGGTGATGATGATGACGATGATGATGATGCTACACTTGGAGCTATACCACAACAACCAGCTTGTAATGGTGAATCATATGAATGAGATTGATTTAATAAATGAATAAATCTATCATGAGAGGAAGGAGAATTGGTCTCATGAAAGTCATTATCATGATCAGTATTTAATGTGGTATTGTTAAATTCATCCAAATGAACAGAATTATGTCTTGCTTCATTATCATTACAATCAATTCCACCGATGTCGTCTTCGTCGTCCTGACCGCCACCACCGCCATCATTATCATGGTTAGGTACACTATTATCACCAACTTGATTATTATGAACAAATAAATTCATTGTTTTTACAAACTGATCATTAATAATCAATTTATTTTTATTCAATACAATGAAATCATGATTTTCACTCTGATCATGTTTTATATCCCCAGTTATTGATTGAAATGATTTTTGATTTCTATTGGGGTAAATTTTTTCAGTTGATTTAATCAATTGATTTTCTTTATTTGATATATTTTCACTAAGTGAAGAGGAACAGAATGAACGATTATCGCGGGTGTATAGATCAGACAAAGGGCTGTCATTTACACCAACTCCAATATTGTCCTCATGAATATGCTTGTTCATCCATAAGAAATTAGTTTGATGACAATTTATGCTGTGACTATTACTACTACAAGTAGTAGTAGTTATTGTTGTGTTATACTCAACACCATTGAGTTTAAAGCTTTCCAAGTTGTCTTGAACCTCATTCAACTTCCGTATGCACTTTATTCTATTCTCATTTGTACTATTATCATCATTTGTGAAGGATAATTGTTGTGGTTTTCCGATAAATTGTTGTTGATTATATGATAAATATGGCATATTTGACGAAAATTAGTCATATGTGAAAGATTATTACTGTTATGAGAAGAGGAAATTATTGTAGGAGTACAATCGGTTAAGGTATGAGATAGACGTGATATTCTCGATGATAATAATAATGATGGTGATGATGATGATGATGACGTAATACTAGTGGTCAATAAATCGTTGAAACTCGATGAATATATAAGATCTGATTTCACTTCAAACTGAGGGAATAAAACATTTGAAGATGGAATATCTGAACTACTTAAATCGGGATGAAAATTAAACTCTACTGTTGGTTGAGGTTTTTTGCATAAATATCTATCACGTGGAAAAGAGGATTGTGAATTTTTCAACATTGAATAAGGATTATTTAACTCCGGTTGAATAAAATGATTTGGTATAGAGACTCCAATTTCAGGCATTGGCTTAATTGGTACATTTGATTCAGACTCATCTGGTTTTGAAGGAGAAGCTGAAGTAAAGACAAGAAGAGAGAAATATTCTTTTTTTTCACCTTTAAATTATACACTTAAGCTTAGGTAACTGCCTATATGAGCAAATTAAAAATGATCATTTTGACTATCTGAGATAGCCGGGATTTGGCATACTCATATTAGTTGACACTTGGTGATAATTGAAGGTGAAATGGAAATCTGGCTCACAGGAGGATTCAAACCAACAACTTCCAGGTCACCGACTCGGTGCTCTGCCTACTGCTTTACGTCTATCATTAAATCTCTGTAGTCTCTGAGTTAAGGACGGTTCTACACCTGTGTACTACTTTTACAATAAAAATTCATTATGATGACAACTATTCAAGAGGAAGAATAAACAACTTCAAAGTAAATGTAGTAACCGTCAATTGAAATGTTGAGTCCACTCAAACTGATCATTCTGCAGTGAACACAGTACTGGTAATTTACTTGGTTGTGGCTAGCAAAGAAATCCAGGAAGCTCATTTCGTCCTATTTCATACTTGTCAGCTGGATGTACCTGCACCCCACTGAGTTATACTCTTCCCAATGAATCTTGAACATTGTATCCATCGCTCCAATCTCCAAGGCGTTATCCACTAGGCCATTGACGCACGATAGCCACCTCTTGTAAAATGGGTATTAGTTATTACTATCTATGGATATGCTTGTGATTCTCCGTTGTTATACTGGATCGAATTGTTCGACCTCTATTGGCATATGGGCTCCTATGCGGATGCCTCGATATTGCCTGAATGTCATTGATGGTAATTTATTTGTTTATGGCTAGCAAAATCCAGGACGCGCGTTTGTAATACTAGTGCCCATCGTACAAAAGGTAGCAATCGTTCCTCCATGGTCTAGTGCATAACGCCTTGGTGTTCGAGATGATGTGTAGGAGGTTCAAGTCCTGGTGAAAACAGCATTACTCACTGAGGTGTAGGTATATTTAGATGACGAGTCTCAAGCAGGACGAAACGGGAGTCTTAGATTCCACTGATAGCCGCAGTCAAATCGATTACCATAATTAATATTCCCGTAATATCGAGGCATCCGCATAGGAGCCCATATGTCAATAGAGGTTGAACAATTCGATCCAGTAATAATAACAGAGAATCACAAGAATACCCATAAATAGTGAAAACAATACTGTTTTGGTTTATCATTAGTATACTGACATACTGAATCGAATTCTTTTGTGTATTTGATGTAGAATCTTAAAGCTCCCCCTATGTTTCACACTTACTGGCACTCATCAGTAAAGTGTACATTCAACTTATGAGGAAATTGGCAGTTTCCATCGATCATTCAAATCGACATCGCTTACTTCTGAAGTCAGAGACTTGACTAACAAGTTGTTCAGACTACAAATGTCTTCCTGTGAGTCAGGTTGATGTATCAGAATCTGTCATTATCGAATAACGTTTCATTACAAAATTTGATCAGTAAAATTCTTTCACAGTTCGTCTAAAAGTAATAACTTCTAAACTCTTAGGAATATCGAAGGAATACAACTTTCACATTGAAATGATATAAAAATAATATTTCAAGTTGTTATTCATCGAAGACTGACATCAGTTGGAGGAACAAAAGAAATCTGGGAGCACTTGACAGCTGTTTCGTCCTAGTATGGGACTCCTCAGCAGTCTTCGATGAATAATAACTTGAAATATTTCCAAATCTCCACAACCCCCTCAAAATTTAATAAAAATAATAATCAACAAAACTTTAAAACTTCTCATTTATGATAATCCTGTGCTTTTCTCATCGATTTCTAAATTGAATAAAAGCATTTTAATACTGCGTGATGACTGAAGGTCAAATGAACGTCTTGGTGGGTCTCATTGAGTTTAGAACTAGCAACCTCTAAGTTACCGATCCATGGCTATACCAAATCAGCAACGAAACTCAAGTATAGACTACATCTTAAGTCAGAGAATAGTGGTTCGAATCCCATCTTGGTGCACAAATTTCTATTTCACTTTCAATCATTATCAAGTATCAGTTATATAAGTCTGGCAAACCACATATGGATTATCTCAAATAGTTAGATTGATAATAATAGCTTAATAGATTGAGAAGTTCATTCACAAAGAAGTTCTGATGAAATCATTAAAAAAACTATCCAATTCTAATGTTGTTCCTAGCTAATCAAATAACATTTATCTCTATATCGAAATGAAAATCCTGTCTTTACTGTATTATCCTTGGGTTTATTATTATTATTATTATTATTAGTCCCTTGGGTTCCTAGTGGAACATAGGGCTTCAGTAGCACGTCTCCAGTGAACTCTGTTCTCTGAGATCTTTTCAACCTGGTTCCACGACAGCCCACAACCTCTCATTTCCTCCTCACACTACCTCCACCATGTCACCCTCACCTCAGACGTCCAACTCGTCGCTTCCCATGGGGATTCCACTCGAGCAACTGGCCTGACGCGTGATGTCCCCAGTCGGCCTTCTCAGTGCATGCTCTATCCAATCCATCTCCACTTCCTTCCAGTGCATATTTGTTGCGTGATGGGTTCTTGGTTGGTTCTTTGACAGCCAGCCAGAGTTCCTTGTTGTTTATTCTTTCTGGCAATCCATCTGATCTTCAGTAGCAAGCCAGGGTAGGCAGTTGTTGATGAACGTCTGTAGTTTATTGGAAATCTCTTTCATAACGCGCCAAGTCTCTCAATCACCACACAGAAGCACTGACTTGACTGATGTTGGTGTTGAAAATCCGGATCTTGTTCCACATGCTAAGTGGAGTGCAGAAGATCTCCCCACTGGTTTCAGGCTAATGAACGCCTGTCTTGCTTTTCCGATTCTCACTTTGACATCCTCGTCTGTGCTTATGCTGCCTGTAGTTGAAACAGTGCTTCCTAGATAGGTGAAGGAGGTTATTTCCTTTAAGTTTTTCCCGTTCATGGTGACTGGAGTTTGTTGTTGTTGTTTGTGCGGTATCTTCATCACTTCTGTCTTCTCTATATTCACTTGAAGTCCTGTCTTCGTTGCCTCTTCTGTTAGCTTGTTAGTTTTCGCCTGTATTATCCTTGGGTAATCCTTGGGTAATTGATACCTTAATAGGTCAACATTTAAAAATATGTTCCAATTTTCATATTTTTTTTTACGATAGACATTTTCTCGGATTACAATTTATAGAAGAAAGAAACAAACAGACAAACAGGCAAGACAATAAACTTGTTTAACAAAAAAAACTTTTTATTGGTAAACACTTAACATAAATCATGGTAATTTAAAGGTTGAAATATTTTAGTCACAATGTATACATAAATGTCATAAAGAAAGATTGTTTCTTCAGAAGTTCTCTTATTCTCTCTTTTTTCTTCCTCATATTTCCTCATATTTTTTCATATTTTTTTCAAGAAATCATAGTGAAACCACACTCTGGTAGATATGGGAATAAGGTAATGGCAACCAATAAAAGTATTTACCATAGAAGAATACAACTTTTCACGTATACATAGGGATACACACACACACACACATACGTATAAAACATGAAAACTTTTGTTTCTCTAAGGTATAATTCAATCTATTCTATCATAGCAACAAAAGGAAACATTTTTTTTATCACTGACACAAGGATTCAGAATTAGTCAACTAGTTTCGAGAATAACCTGTTCTTTTTATATGTTGTCAATTTCTACTATGATATCATTTCATATCAACCTTTACTTTACTACCATTTCATGGTGAAATTAATGCTTCAATGAACTAGAAAGTCGGCCTAGTAACTAAACCTTTAAACAACTGGACAGATGGGTAAAATAATTGAGCAGTTAGTATACAATTAGTCATTCAGGATTACATTTTGAAATGTATCTGCACTTCTAAAAAAAAAAGGGGTAGACTTTCCAGTTTGTTTAAAAAAGAGCATATCTTAGCCATCTTTCTGATAAAACAGGAGTGAACAATAGTGATTTGTAGATTTAGTGGATTCTATGTTATTCTTCAGCAATGCTACGCATCATCATAGAAAAGAGCATATAACGACAGTCAACTCTACACCTTATCTCAACTTCATCGACTTTGAAAAGACCTTCGACAGCGTCAACTGAGAAGTGATTTGTCAGGTAGCTGCTTCAGCATTATGGTTTTTAGTGCCACAAACCTTTATCAATCTCATTCAACAACTATATGGCGACGCCGTATGTCAAGTGATTCACAATGAAAAGCTCGGTGACACCTTTGAAGAGAAGACAGAAGTAAGACAAAGGCTGTCTACTAACACAGATGATCTTCTTGATTTTAGTCGATTGGATGATCCAACAAACTGTGAGGAGGGAGGAAAGGGGCATACACTGAACCGATGAAAAGACCCTAGGAGAAGATTTGGATTTTGCCCATGATGATTTATGTCTTATGTCGTACAAACTCGAAGATCTACAGGCAAAACCAACAAGTTGACAGAAGAGGCAGCGAAGATGGAACTTCCTTCAAGTGAAGGTAGAGAAGGCAGAGGTGATGAACATACCCAACCAATAACAACAACAACAAGCACCAATCATCACCAACGGGAGAGATGTAAAG